AATAAAAAGTATAAATACTCTGTCAGTTATTATTTTTTGCTAAAATCAAATGTCTAATTTTCTTTTGTATATTAGCTACATTAATTTCAATATCTGCTGTTTACTTTTTATTTTATTGCATCTGTTGTACTCTATCGACTTTGTAATAGCGAGGTAATTGATTTTTTGTATATCTTAAAAAGCTACTTTACCCTTTTAGCCGTAAATATTCGTTTGACAATCCAGGAAGCCATTAGGGCATTAGACGCTTATGACTATAAAACTATTTAAATCTGGCGTGCACAAAGAGCAAAAAAGTAACCAAAAAAAAAGGGTCAACACCCAAAAAATCTCAACAAACTAACTTTATAAAAAAAACAAAGATAACAAAAAAACAGTTACCGGTAAAAAGAACTTCCAAGGCTCATTTTTCTAGCACTTGTTGCAGTAAAAATATATTATGAGCAAATGAAAAGTTGCATCATTGCTAGAACCTGAACCAAAATCTAAAAAGGTTTGCTCAATTGGGACATGCATAGTTGGCGATGAACCATCATATAACACATGCAAGCAATCTCGACCTTCTAATTCAAAGATTGATCAAATAAATTTGGGTCCTATGATTTCTAATGATGAGGCACAAACTTTGGCTTATAATGATACATTTTATAAGCGATTTTGGGCTTGGCGTTTACTACAACAAAATGATAGATGGCTTTTGTCTCGTCTTGTTCTTTCAGACATTTCAATTCATATTAAATTCACCTCTATTCATACTGGACAAATTGGGAATCTGGTTAGCATTGCTCCTTGGGAGCGGATGCTTCTTCCTCTCATGCAACCAGTTCAAAATGATAAAGAAGAAGAACAGCCCCCTCAGCAAGCTGAGTTAAGACCCGATCAATTAATGGATCATTATAAGTTACCTTCAGTTGGAAGGAGTACTTTGTTGACTCCATTATTAGCAAAGATGCGATTACATTTTTACTTAGTTCGTATTTGTGATAAGGCTTTAGCTAAAAAATCTGCTCGAAATATTGTACCTGATGATGTGATTCATGATGTTGAAAATTTGGATAATCCAAAGATTAGAAACGATAAGTTAGATGTTTTGGCTCATCATGTGGGAGAGATTGACTGTGATAACACGGGCTATTTGTTAAAAGATTGGAATTTCTATATTTCCAAAAGATGAGATGAAGGTTTGTAAACTTGAGGAAGAGGGTGAGGGTGATAGCACTATATTTGATACTGCAAATTTTGCATTTATTATTGTGGTTGATTATATGCCTGAGTTTTTCAAGATGCGTAGACTTCGAGCCAAACTTCCTAACAATGAAGCGAAGTATATACCTGATCAGTTGCCTTATATGTTGGGAGAACAATTTTCATTTTCGGCAGGGCAGACTGGCATATCTGTTTACATGAGCGATGGGTCGATTGAGATTTCTTATCATTATGATGAGTCATTTGAGGGTAAGATGGAATTGGGTAGATCTCTTATTAAACAGCTTAGAGAGGAATTTACTATTGTGCTAGCCAATAATAATAATAATATACATGTTGATCAAGTTGTTAATGATGATGCGGATGATTAGTTTTTTTTTATTATTTTAAAAATATATAAATATCATGTTTTCTCTTTTTTTTATTAATAAACAATATTATTTTAAAATCTAACATTAATACAACAATGAGTTGTAAGTGTAAATTTGGTTCAAATAAGTATGTGTCTTGTTGTTATCATGATCAAGAAAGAAAACAATTAAGTTACTGTAAAGGTTATGGGGATTCAGAGATTGACTTAACAATGGCATTTGTGGATGCGGTAGAGGAGTTTTTTCGAGGTAACCCTGAATTGTTAGGAGTAAACAGTCAACTAAAAGATCCTGAAAATGTCAATCGGCCCAATATTCCTGACGATGTTGAGATGGATAATCAGCCAAATATTCTCGACGATTTTGAGATGGATAATTTTGAAGAAATCATCCCAACTGATACTGAAGAAGAAATTGATAAACCTGAACAAGTAAATAATCTATTAGAATTGACTCCAACTCTAGTTCTGAATTCTGAACCATCTAAGGAAGAAAATGAGTTATATGAGCAATTAAAACGCGAGATAGAGGCAATTACATGTGAAGATGCTATTAAGCTTGTTGATGGAAAAGAGATGTTTTTGAAAATTGACAATTCCGGGTTAACTCCTAGCTTGAAAAATGATTTACATAGGATTCGACATGAGAAATTAGCCCAATTGAGGGTAGAGCATTACAATCGATATTCTAATTTGATTGATAATACAAATTCTATTATTGAGCTGAATGCTTTACATACACCCATTGCTGACGATGAAGTATTATTGGCGCAACAGATACCTCCTCTTTTAAGAAGAATTACCAATAAGATATCAAAAATTCGTCAGCAAGAAGAGTATGACCGCATCTGACAAGGTATACTTAGTGAAAATGATGTAACCAAGGTTGATATTGATTGGAGGGATGAAATAATTTCCACAAACTATTTAACTGATACACAGCGGAGTGAATTGAAATGTATAAGAAATAAGCAAAAGTGGAATTTCGCGGTATGCAGAAATATCAACAGTTCAAGAGTGAGCTTGAACAAGCCCTTATTGGTGATGTAGTAGACGGGAAAATGTATAATACATTGATCGAGAATGATACGTTTTTAAGCGAATCTAAAAAGAAGAGCTTCAACGTTTTCGAAAAGAGCAATTGAGGAAGTTGACCGATAAGACATTTAACAATCTTAAGAATAGTATGAGAAATGAATATGTATTAAGCAGGTTGCAGGATAAGGGGTATTATGACAAGCGTATTGCCAAGATATGAGATGAATTTTTATCTGATGATTTAAAGAAGGGTGATTTGCATATTTTACGTTGTCATCGTTTGGATATGCTTCAGGCTGAAACCGAAGATGAGTTATTCGATAGCAATTCTGATCTAATAGATCTGCATCAAGATTTACAAGAGTTTGATGATAACTCTGACCTCGCAAAAGATATATTGGGATTAAACCAGTCCTTGTTAACTGGGAATCGTAAGGTTGAGAATTTAGTAAACAAGAGGAAGACTAGATACGCTAATGAAAAATATGATAATTTTGAATTTGCGATTAATATCGAGGAGAAATCTGATGAATTAAAAAATACTTAGAAGAGAAAAATAGATTCTGAGATTGACCAACAGTATCTAACATTACCACGTTCGCTTGAGAAATTGCATCAGTTGCGCCAATATCAAATAAATTTATTAAATACCCAACCAGTTGGAAAGAGACCTTCGCCTGTTGATCCTCTTCAAGAATATTTTCCCACCAGAATGACTGATAGAGCTAGAAAAACTCGCAATTATGCTGGAAATGTAAATGCACAGATTTCATCTATAATAGATGAGTATAAGAAGACTTTGAGTAAGGATGATAAGAGGCAGTTAACACCACGTATTAAAATTGATCATGTGAAGACGATGATTAATGGTGCGTATGAAATAACTAAAAATAAAAAATCAGTTCTAGACACATTTTACGCTATCTGGATAGTTGGTGCGGAGGACAAAGATTTATTGGCAAAATCTGTTACAAAAAAGCATATTGATGAGGCTAGAGAGTTATCAAAAAATATTGATAATTATGTATGGCTTATTTCAAAGAAAAGAATCAAAGGTACTGAGCGAATTCGCCTTTCGCTGAATCCGAATTATCAAATGATCAAGTACTATCCAAAGCTTATTAAGAGTGTTGAATTTTTTCTCAATAACCCTTTGGGGTTCATGCTTGAAGTTATCGACAATAGGGAAAATATCGAGTTGATTATGGTCGAATATAAAAAATCATTGCAAAATTCTAGTGAGATCTCAGCAGCGAATTTTCAGAAAATTGAGGAGACATTAATTCAGGAAATTAGTAAATATGATAATAATGATACCAAGAAAGAATATTTGCAAAAGGTATTCGATATTTTAATTTCAAGAAAACTTAACGATGTGAAGGATGATGATGATATTGATAATATGTTCGATTCATTTGATTTTTTGTTTTAGTATTTTAATATGATATTTATTATATAATGGTTATAATTAGTGTATCCTACAAACATTAATAAAAAAAATATTTGACATAGTATAAACTCAAAAATACAAAATGTATGCATGGTGTATAAGTAATTTAACATTTCTAGGTTAAAATCGCCAAAGTCTTCAATTTGTTTTTTAACATATCTTTTTAACTGATTCATTGCTAATGCAAAGAATATATTGTTTAGTTGAAATAGTTCTATAAGCATATCAACCAAATCCAAGATGCGTTTTTTGACCTTTCTTTTTAATGTATCGTTAAATCTTTGTTTATAATATAATAGGTCAATCGATATCAGTTTGATTCTATTGTTTAGCCTTTTAATAGTTTTTTTCTTTTTCTTCGATAGTTTCTTCAACATTTCTCAGAGGTTTAGGTTGCATTTCTTCATGATTTTCACCAAGATAGTTGTTTCAAGCTTCATTCATTTTCTTTTTTTTTTAATAAATTTTATACATGGTATATATATATTTATGTTTACAAATAATATTATTAGTTAAACAAAATTGTGTTTATTTAAAAATATTTTTAAACTAAATGGTAAGCAATCAAAGATATATATTAGCCAAATGAAAAATTTTATTTGTTGCCTTAGACTCTCATAATCCTTACAACCTTTTAAAGTGAGGAACTAGCAAATAACACTAAGCAATATATGCTATAAATAAATTTGCTCATTTATTCAGACTTGTATGAAAGCTATATAAGCCGAGGACTTTATTTAAAAAAATTTTTAATACTTTCAACTAACTTTTTTTTTATTTACGACTAATATTTCTGAACATATGCTTTGATGCCAAGTACTAGCATCCTTGGTTAATGGATTACTATTTAATTTTTTACTATTATAAACTATCACACTAATGAATCTTTAAAGTGCCCAACAGAAGCAGATTGCATTCTTTGAATCACATCAATGCCTATTTAGACATTTGATTTTTATATTGAATAATAATTAAATTCTTTTTATAAGATGTGAAAATATTACTACCAAAATCACCTGGTTGAAATACAACTAATTGAGCTACAAATCCATTATTATTTAATAATTTAACAATTATCTTTTCAAAATCATGACCAATTTCATAATTTGTTTTCTTTTTAACTACTACCACCTTTTTCTTGTTTGTTAAATCTGTTAATCTTTTTAATTTTCTTTCAAACTTCTTTTCCAATAAATATTTTATCATTTGAATTGCAAAAACCTTTAAATTCTGCAATATTAGTTTTAATTTTTTCTAATTTTTTTAAAAAAATTAAATTTAAATTGTGTTTTGCTTTTCCTTGATAAATTACTGGAAAATAATCATATTGTTTATTTGTAATTTTCAATAAATTTTAATGCGGTATCAAAATATCATCATCAAAAAATAAATTAACACAAGTAGAAACAGTATTGTTCTGACGAATTTTTTCATAAAAAATATACTCAAAATTTATAATATTAAGTTTCTTTTTTAATATGTTCTAACAAAAATTCAACAGTTTTTTCAAAAGAACATTGAAATTTATAAAATTCAAGATATAAACATTTAGTTAACATTTTTAAATATATTTATTAGAAATATTGCCGTATTTATTGATATTTTTTAGTCATCAAATTTTGATGTGCAGTTGATACCATGAGCAGGTAAATATCAAAATCGACCAAAAACAGAAATGAAGAGCCAAGATTTCAGGGGAGATCTGGGTCAGTCCCCAAGCTTTCTGTGACCCGAAAGCAGCAAACCATTAAAAGTTTCAAGATTTTACATCTCATTCTCGTGAAGAGAAGCTGCCAAGACCTTTCTTTACACTCATCCATTTTAAAAAAAGTTTGACTTTTGTTGTTCAGATACAGCTGCCAAAAGCCTAAAACAGTGTATCAAGTTGCGCCTTATTGTTATGAGCCTTAGGATTCAACCGGTGAATCCTTGTAGTATGCCCGAAGACAACTTATGTTGAGAATACTTTTTACTCTTCTATGGTAGAAACATGTCCATCAAAGAACCAACATTCTCAAAATATTTGAATATCAGACACTAAGTTTTTCATTCACTCTCGAGATAGAAAGCCTGGCCAAAACTTAATAACGACCATCTGAAATGATAAAAAAATGACTCGTTTGTCCTTTCCTATATATGAAAAGATGAGTACTCTTTTCCAAGCCTTTGTGAAAAAACTTGGATATCTTACAGTTAAACATGCGAGGGAAGCTCAACTAGCTTAGTTTAAACTCGTATTCCTCAGTCATATCTGCAATCATTGGAAGAAATGAAAAGCTAAAGCTTGCTCTTGGCCACATCTCTCAGAAGCATTATTCTAATCTTTATGGCCAAGTTATAATGCACCTCATGGTATTATTTTACCATTTCGCTCTCGACAAGATCATGCCTTAGCTATTATGTTCATAGTGGAGCAAGAGCATTTTTTTTCCGAAAAGTGGGCTTTTCATCTTTTTAACTTGGTTGATCATACATTTTCACACATGAATATTTAGATTAGCTGTATAAATAATTTTTATTTATATATTTACAATTAAATTTACAATGACTAATTTGTACGTATAAATAATTTTTTATTTATACATTCACAATTAAATTTACAATGATAATATAAATAAATAATTATAAATGATTTACTCAAAGTAATCCCAATATCCCTTATTATAGATTGCTCTTCCGTTTGCAACATGCAGAGAAATGACTATATTTTTAAAATGTTTTATTTTAACTATCTTATACGCCCCTTTGATTTTCTATTTAATATTTAGGTTTGAGGCTCATCGAACTTGAACTAGAATTTTCTTTACTTCTAAGCCTCATCTGATAGATTCTTGAAAGCAATATAAGCGACGATTGTCGCTTGAATACCACATATCATCGATCAGACAGACACGAATATAGGGAAAGTCTTCTATTTTGATTTTTTTATTAACCAA